TGGTACATCTATCAAAACTAAGAAATTAACACTGCTAGAAACTATTATATTCTAGAGGCGCTATTTGGATTTTTACACTAATGTCCTTTTCTCGTTCCACAGTCCAGTAATACCATATTACTTTTAGTTGTCATGTCTCAGTAGCCTCTTCTAATCTGTACAGTTTCTCAGTGGACACGTCTGAAGAGTCAGGAACTTTATAAAATCTCCCTCAATCTGGGATTGCCTAATGTATTCTCAGAATTACACTGAGTTTATAAATTTGGGGGAAGAGGTGATATGTCCTTGTTACATCATATCAGGGCCATGTGTTATCAACTTGACTGATTACTGGTAGTGGTAACCTTGATTCTTTGGCTAAGATAACCAATTTCTTAAATAATACTTCCTGCTTATAATGTAATTCATGAGAACACTAACGCTACTACACATATGTATTTCATCTAGTGATTTAATGTTGTTTAAGAGACTAGTGGCTGACCCTGGACTGTCAACCAATAAAATAATTTTGATCTGTAAATGCAACTAAAAAGTATAAGGCTTGGAGCCCCAAGAACTGAGTTCAAATTCTATGTCCACTATTTACTGACTTTAAATCACAATTTCTGTCAGCCTCAATTCCCTCATCTGAAAAATGGGGATTATCATAGTCACCTCACAGAATTGCTGTAAAGATTAATATATGCATAAAGATTAATATATGCTCACGCCTGTAATCCCAGCACTTTGGGAGGCCAAGGCAGGTGGATCACCAGGTCACCAGGTCAGGAGTTCAAGATCAGTCTGACCAACATGGTGAAACCCCGTCTGTACTAAAAATACAAAAATTAGTTGGGCGTGGTGATGCACGCCTGTAATTCCAGCTACTCAGGAGGCTGAGGTAGGAGGATCATTTGGGCCTGGGAAGTCAAGGCTTCAGTGAGCCATGATCATAACCAAGCCACTGCACTCTAGCTTGGGCAACAGAGTGAGAACCTGTCTCAAAAATGAAATAAAAATAATGATAAATTTTCATAAATAAGTACCCATATGAAAAAAGCCACTGAATCTCAGAAATAAAATGCTGAAGCCACAATTATAAAGTGATTTTTTAAAAAAAAAGCATGCCTGGTGGTGCCCAGTCTGTTTTTCACCTCTCTTGATCTATAACTACAACAAAAAGGAAGACTTTGAGACAAGTTAAAGAAATGATAAATACCACATACACATTTCCAAAAGTTAATCATTCAGAAACTGTGCCTACCTGAGTCAGTGAGGGAAAAGCACAGAATAATTTGACTAGATCATATTTCTATGTCTCTTTAAATGATTATGAACTGCTGGAGAAAATGGTTTTCATGACTGTTAGTATTTAATATCTAACAATAAAGGCTGTATTTCAATATTTGATGTACTTATCATTACAATGTTAAAAGAGAAACCACCACTCTCCATATAGTAGAGAGCTTAATTGTGAATGTTTCTTGTAAGCCATGTTAGAATATAAGCTTATTGAGGGTAGAGATACCCGTGAATCCACTTTAGTAAACTAGGCCTCAATAAACACTAGATTTGCATTGGAGTTACTGTAATACTTATGTATGCCTTCTGAACTAAGACCCTAAGCTCTGCACTGCCAATTCTGGTTTACCCAATAGGCAGATGAAGCATATACTTCAGAGCACCAGCAAAACCAGAATGTAAAAAAAGAAAAGAAAAAAGAAAACCCAAATAATATTTCAGCAACACCATTGAAGAAGCCATCATGGGGGAAAAAAAACAGAACTTTGTTGGACTTTTTTACTCTTATTTTGGGGTTCTGTTATTTTTCTTTTTAGATCTTTATGAGGAAGATGTGGTAGAACATCAAAATCTTTTTAGTGCTTAGGGTCTCCAAAAATCTTAATACAACTCTGTGTACATCTTAAATTATCGTAAATTTGATTTACTGAGTTGTTCAGCAAAAAGTATTTTATTTCATGAAAATTATAGCATGTTTTCCCGTACTTTATATAATCATACAATTTAAGATTCTTCCTCTTTACAATTTATCTCTAAGTAAGAAACCATAATAAATGCTAGAAGGCAATCCTCATTAATTGGACTAAAACCAGTTCTCTCTTATCAGCCAACAGTACTAGTATGTCATCACACCCTCTGACCGTATGAAAAGACTACATAGTTCCCAGAATAATCAAAAGTAAATTATTTTTTATTTCTTACTGGTATAAATGGAATCTTAAATGTTTCTACTTGAAACATCTAAATATATGTAATTTCTTGTTCTGTAGTTCTCATTTCATTCACAATTCAAGTTTAGTTACTTAAGAAGATAACTACTCAAGCCTGTAATCCCGGCACTTTGGGAGGCCGAGGCAGGTGGATCACGAGGTCGACAGATCGAGACCATCCTGGTCAACATGGTGAACCCCTATCTCTACTAAAAATTACAAAAAATTAGCTGGGCACGGTGGTGCGTGCCTGTAATCCCAGCTACTCAGGAGGCTGAGGCAGGAGAATTGCCTGAACCCAGGGGGCAGAGGTTGCGGTGAGCCGAGATCGCGCCATTGCACTCCAGCCTGGGTAACAAGAGCGAAACTCCGTCTCAAAGAAAAAAAAAAAAAAGAAGAAGAAGATAACTAGTTTTTTTCTCAACAATTACGTTAAAGAAAACACTGCCAGATTTTTCCCAGCTTCAACTCTCCCTCTACCTATCAGCCAGTCTGCTGCTACATAATTATCCAGATGTTTCTGGTGTGTCTTGTTGCTAATACTCTGTGTACTTCAGGGAGAAGGGTACAGATATTGCTTGCGCATCCGCTTGCCAAAGGCCGGTTCTAATTAGACTTGTCATTTTTTGCTTGGTTTCATTTTGACCACTGGGTGCATCATGCAACCCTGTTGGATTAAGAGTATAAAAATATAGAAAGCAATAGTTAACCTATCTCGCACAACTAAAAGAGGAAGTTAAAAGTAATAAAAATTGGTGTTGGATGATTAAGTAAAGGATTAGGAGAGAGACCATTCCTTTACATCTAGACACCCTCCCTAACCCGAGACCCCCGAAAAACCAAGCCGCTTCTAAGTAGTGAGAGAACTTAGGCAACAAAGAAATGACTTTGTTAGAAAACACTTCACACGACTTATTTTAAATTTTGCTTTAAATTTGATTGCTTTTCTCCTTTTTCTCCAATAATTGGACTATTTCAGTTTCTAGTCCTTGATTAAGGCTTCAGAGTTCGTTATTCTTACCTACTTAAGTTTTCATAAAATTCAGTCTATACAAGACTTGCTTTTTGTGAGCACTGCGCTTAGTGGCAGCCCGGATTTTTCCCTCCACCCCCGGGGCCACCTCTGCCCACCGCAGCCGTCTGCGTGGATCTAGCAGGTGCGAGGCCGGCCGAGGCCCAGAGCTCAGCCAAAGCAGCCGAGTTTACAGAGCGCGAGCGCCCTAGAGGAGGCAGCGGCAGCAGAAGGCAGGCCTGGCCGCACGAACTTTGCTAGCCTGGCGGGGGAGCTCTGAGGCGGGCCGACCTGCCCCGCTAGAGCTGGAGAACGACTCCCTTTTTGCCAGCTAGCTCTCCGCCTTCCCGCAACCAGCTCCGCGAGCCTCAAAGGCTCTGCGGCCCTTCTAGACCGTCTTAAATAACAACCCCCCGCCCTCGCCCCCATAGGAATCGAGGCAGCTGGGGGGTTCGCGTCGCAGACCCAACCCGCTAGCAGAAGAAAGGCAGGCCGGGCTTCGCGGTGCCGAACCCCGCTCCAGCTGGGGCCAGGCCGCCTAGCCCGCGGGCGGGAGCCGGCGCGAGAGACTAGACGGGAGGAGGCGGGGAACGCGAGGCGGGAGTGAAGGCGCTGGGCCGGGCGGGCGGAGCTTGCGAGGCGGCTAGCGCGAGCGCCAGCGGGGCGGAGGGCGGGGCGTGGGCGGTGCCCGGCCTTCCCGCTCCCGCGGAGCTGCAACTCCGCCGAGCCTCCTTAAAACTCTGCCGTTAAAATGGGGGCGGGTTTTTCAACTCAAAAAGCGCTCAATTTTTTTCTTTTCAAAAAAAGCTGATGAGGTCGGAAAAAAGGGAGAAGAAACCGGCACCGTCTCTGAGAGGCAGCAGAAGCAGCAATTGTTTCAGCGAAAAAAGCAGCAAGAGAGGGAGGGAAGGAAAAAAGCAAAAAAAGGGGCGACGCGCGAGTGCCTGTAGGGGTGAAGAGAGCAGGGACCGGCGATCTAGGAGGGGATCAGCTACAAAAGAAACTGTCACTGGGAGCGGTGCGTCCAGGGAGTAAGCAGTGCTGCCAGGCTCGTCTCCAGGGCACAGCTGGCTGGCGGCTGCCCTGTCCGCAGCAAAGGGGCACAGGCCAGGGACCGCGAGAGGTTGGCGAAGTGGCACCGGGCGCTGAAGCTGCTGAGCTCTCGCCGAGACGGCGGCGGGACTGGCTGCGCCCTGGAACTGTGGCGACTACCTCTATTCAGAACTTGGCCTACGCTTTCCCGGACTCTCCCCAACTCCGGAGACCCCACAAAACCGGGATAGGACGGCGACGGCGGCAGCTCAATGAGTGCCTGCAGCAGAAAGCCTGAACGAGCTCGGTCGTAGGCAGGAAGTTCCCGGGGGGCTGCCCAGTGCAGCCGCAATGCTGCCGCGAGCTGCCCCAACAGCCCGGGCCCCTTAGACGCTTCCCGCATCGCTCTCCTCCTCCCTTAGGCTGCCGGGAGTCCCGGGACCTGGCGGGGCCGGCATGACGGGCTTCTCCGGGACCCGCCGCACGCCCGGCAGCCTCCGGAGACGCGCGCCGAGCCCGGCTCCCACGGCCTCTGAGGCTCGGCGGGGCTGCGGCTGCCTGGCTGGCGAGCTCCAGAGCTTTCCTGAGCGGCATTAGCTCACTGCTTGGCCCAGACGCGACTAAAGGCTTTTCTGGAGAAGTCCAGAGCACTGGGCAGTAGTTACGACCTGTAACTTGAGGGCCAAGGAACTGCTACTCCCGTTCGCCTTTGGCGATCATCTTTTAACCCCCCGGAGCACGTCAGCATCCAGCCACCGCGGCGCTCTCCCAGCAGCGGAGGACCCAGGATTACCCCTTCGGCGAGACGGATGGAAACCGAGCCCCCTGGAGGACCTGCCCCTGCAGTTCTGCCGCACACGGCTCAAGTCACCACCGTGAACAAGGGTGGGTGAATGTCTTTTCTTCCCCCCGAATGTCTTGCCTTCCGCGGTATTTTCTGCCCCGATCTAGTCCCTTAAGTCTCCACACACACTCCTCACGGAGATCTGTAGCGTAGGTACGTGACAGCTCTGCCTACATCTGACGTCCGGAGTCATTAACCAGGAATGTTTGTGTGTCTGTGTGTCTCTCCGTGGAGTCCTCAGAATTCTTCATAGGGGTTAAGCTAAAAAGCGAGGCGAGGAGCCCCTCTCCAATGGCTCAGTTTTGCTGAATAATCACGTGTGAATCTAGGGGCGGGCTTTTGGCAGGCAGATCTTACTAGTATTTACTACCAAGCTCTACTCCAGATTAACCATCCCAGTCCTTCTGTCAGTCTCCGATGCCATCATGCAGCCTGGTTAGGAGCAAAGGAAAGGGGAAAAAGAAAAACGACTAATTCATCTTTTCCCGATCGTCAGGACCCTAAAGAATGGCCGAGCCTTGGGGGAACGAGTTGGCGTCCGCAGCTGCCAGGGGGGACCTACAGCAACTTACTAGTTTGTTGCAAAATAATGTAAACGTCAATGCGCAAAATGGATTTGGAAGGACTGCGCTGCAGGTTGGTATTCAGAGAGGTGGGGAAAACAGGTCAATAATGTTGCCTACGTGAGCCGGGTTTCTAGAATTATAGCTTTTATGCTTTCAAGGGTTCAAAATTTCACTGTTTTTAAACCTAGTTGGTTGCCATATTTTATATCTTAAGTGGATCCAACTTCTCAAAATGACGTACTTTGAACAAACTCCTGAAATCCAATAACATTCTTGATATCAAGTAGGGTCGAGGTTTGGTCTTAGTTTTTGGAATGTTTTTGTGACGGTGGGGATTTTAAAGTAGTCATAGTAGGGCCGAGGTTTGTTTGCTTTGCTTTGTTTTTAAAGACAGCTTTGTAAACACATTATTATGATTATTATTTGTAGTAAATACACTGCTATTAGTGGTTTCACGTATTTTGCCCTCAATAATTGACTTTATCGTTGATTTTCTTAACTACTGGTGAGGATGTTTTTCCTTCAAATGCTTCAAGTTTTGACAAACGACCTTTCCTTGTTTGGAAGGGGTGCCCTGGGCACCGGGACAGGATGTACATTTCACAGTTAATGTAATACCATCCACTAATTCAGGAGTCGGGAGGAATAAAAAGTTGAATTTTCTAATCAGAGCTCAGCTGCAGTGTCTTTGTCTCTACGGTCAAGCCGTGGTGTGCTCTAATTTTCAGTAATTAGGTTTACAGGCAACAATTGACACATGTCCAGCTGCCAAGTATTGTACCTGATATATTTTTTCCTCTTCTGAATGTTACCATGTAACTTAGAAGAAAAGCTTAGAAACAGAAAAATGACAAAATAGTCTAAAATAGTTGTTTTATCAGAGTCCTGATGATATTCTTATGAGCTATTCTTATTTGGAAATGCAACACTTGAAGCTGTTTTTGAAAACCCAGTGGGGAGAGGGTTTTTAGAGGGCTTTGTTTCAGTTACAAGAATTAAAAATTTAAGTGGCAGGAGATATACTATTAACAAAGTTCGTACAATCTGTACATTTTTAATCAGAATACACTGACCTTGCAAAAATTTCAGTATTAAGGAAGTTTATGCACAGATACTAAATTATTTATCTTGTTATTTCTGCTACATTAAGAAATGATTTTTTTACTTAGTAGTTTTGAACAGGTTTAGTGATGATAGCAAGGTAACAAATTTAATATACTGAAAAGTTTCCTTTTGAAAACTCAAAAGATTATATAAATTTCACAAAGAATAAGCTACTTAACCCATGTTCACAATAACATTTTACAGGATTTTTGACGAACAGGAAGACTGAGAGATTAATACTGTTCTTTTAAAAAGTTTTGACAAACATTTTAAATACAACTTTGCAATCTTGTTTATATTAAACATACTTATCAAGGTACAACTCAATTATTGTGGCTTAGTCCTTCTACATATAATAAAATACACACACACACACACAGAAACAGGAGTTTCAAGGCTCATTTTCAATATGTATAATTCTGACTCTGAAGTTGTGTCATAAGTCAAGAAAGAACTTTCTTCAAAATCATTTCCAATATTACTATTATTTTCTGTGAAAAAAGATGAATTTTTTTCTACAATTATGTTTGTTTAATTCAATTTCAAAAGCCTTTTCTACCTTCCTAGAGTACATTTTTCTATCAGGTTAACATCAAAGGCCTTAATCGTACATTTGCTTTACAAAGATCCAAGGATCTGTCTCTTATTTTTCTCATTCCAGGTCCTTAAATATGCCTAAATCTTTAGAGACAGTTGTGGTGATATCAATTTTTAATAATTAAAAAGTATGTTTCATTGGCGTTCTTGAAAAATAAATTATGTATCACTTTTTAGCACTGCTCCAAAGGAAGAACTAAAAGTCAACAGAGTTTTATCAACATGGGAGCTTAATATCTTGTCCATCTATATAGTTTGCATTTATAAGATATTATTAATTCTAAATATATTTTATTATTTAATGTGTGAATAGTTTATTTCTTAAACATTTAAAAAAGATAGATCGACTTTGTATTTTCCATTAGCATTTAATTTCATAAACACTGAGCATCTATTATGCAAGCTATTTATTATAAATTTAGATTATGAATATACCTAAATATAAATCAAACCAGTAAATGCTGAAAATGTGTGACACGTCAATGAAAGTAGTATTTTTTCACAGCTAAATTATATGTATTTTATACTTGCATGCTGTTCTACAAGATATTTTATAAGAGAGCACTTATAGAGTGAAATATATTCAAACAACAGTAGATAATCTTTGTTATGTGAATTATTTGCATGTTGATAGCAAGTGTTAATACCACGTTCTGACTTTTAAAATGTTGGCAATTTACAAATAGCTATTCCTTAAATGCTTGATAATAACTGAAAAAGGAACTAACACAGAATCACCAGTTGATTATTCAATGAGCTTAAACCACAAGACAAGGCTGTCTGTGTCCCAAAACACCCATTAAATATCTTACTTTTTCTTCTTTTGCTCACTTGAAAATTAGGAGGCTTGTCAGAACTTCAAGAAACAGTTTGAATATAGTAAAGTGACTATTTCATTATTTTCAAGAACAGTTGTCATATAATAATTTTCTATTGTGATACAAGGCATATCAGGAACTTAGTTTTATATAAATTGATATCATGCAATTTAGAACACTGTGGTTTTTTAACACCTTAATAATGAGTAATGTTTTGTAACTTAAAATGAAGGATTCTAAGCATTGAATACACCTAGTAGCCAATATTAAATAACTTGCAAATAAAAAATATTTTTAAAGAAATGCTTGGAAATTTGGAGCTATATCTATTTGGAGGGAACTTGTAAAAATTGATCATTTAAGAAAATATTAGGCCTGGATTTTTAAGACATCATTTTTACACTAGCTGATGGAGTTGGTTTAGAGAAACTCAACATCCTTATTTGTTTGCAGTAGCCATTTAGAAAATAAAGTTTAACCACATTTGATTTTCTAGAATTAATATCACTGGCACATTTGATGAGCATGAACAAACAGAGGAGATTCTTATTTAAATCCAAAATTCCATTTCTTTTATTTTAATAAATTCATGAAATTACATAACTCTTCATAGAACATAGAGAACTGAATTGTCAGTAAATGCTATACATATTGCACAAATTCTATCTTATTGATCAATTTATTCTACTTTTGGGCCCATTTAAGATGTTTCATCATAGAAGCTCAATTTTTAGAAGTTGTCTTCTACTTTCACCTACTAGCACTTTTCTGCATTTGACTGCTTCAAGCCCCATTCTATGGGTCTTCCCCAAGTACTCCATAAAAAATAAATAGTTACATAAATGGAAGGACAGGTAGATATTTAAAAATATTTCTGTAGCATGAGCACTTGAAGGATTCTACCATTTGTACTTCTTTTCCAGGTTATGAAACTTGGAAATCCCGAGATAGCCCGGAGACTACTACTGAGAGGTGCTAATCCTGATTTGAAAGACCGAACTGGCTTCGCTGTCATTCATGATGCGGCCAGAGCAGGTTTCCTGGACACTTTACAGACTTTACTGGAGTTTCAAGCTGATGTTAACATCGAGGATAATGAAGGGAACCTGCCCTTGCACTTGGCTGCCAAAGAAGGCCACCTCCCGGTGGTGGAGTTCCTGGTGAAGCACACGGCCAGCAATGTGGGTCATCGGAACCATAAGGGGGACACCGCCTGCGATTTGGCCAGGCTCTATGGGAGAAACGAGGTTGTTAGCCTGATGCAGGCAAATGGGGCTGGGGGAGCCATAAATCTTCAATAAATGTGGGAAGGGCTCCCCCACATTGCCTCTACTTTATCAGTTAATTGGGTGGCTATCCTGACTTATAATGTCCTTTGTTAAAATACAGTTCTGTCATATTTTAAGCAGCCAAATTTCCTGAAACTGCATAAGTGAAAATCTTACAACAGGTTTATGAATATATTTAAGCAACATCTTTTTCACCTGTAAAATCTGTTCTAACATGTAATTGCAAATAGCTTTGACTGTCTTCTGAATATTTTATCTTTCCTTGGCTTTTTCCTTGCTTCCCCTTTTGCCAATCTGAACACCCAACTTGAAGATTTTGTTTTTAAAATGGTTTGTCCTGATGCTTCTTTTGCCTAATTAAAACTCTTTCAAAACAGGACATTTTTCTGTGATTTTCCCTCCTCTATAACGCATACACAATTTGCCACTTGCTAAGGAGAACTGTACTAAAAGCTATTGATGTCTTAAGTCTTTACACTAGAAAAAGTAGACTAATGGGAAAACTAGACATATTCTCTTGATGATTCAATTATTGTTTTCATCCTTTACCCATGTCCCGTCCATTTTGGTGCCTAGTATTTCTGCTTTAAAACAAAGTAAGGACACCTTTTTTGTTGTTGTTGTTGAAGATCAAGCCTGAAATTTCAGTGTGAATTTTCCTAATGTTCAATCTTCCCTTTTTCTTGACGTTAAGTCAAATAGTTGAAGGACAGAGTTCAAAAGTAGCTATATGAAAATATATTTTAGCTCTAAAACCCAGTTTTAAAAGAAAATACTATCTTAAAAGTGCTTACCATGAATTGATTTTTAATCACAAAATGAAGCAAATGGTTAAATAATATATTTTCCAAAATTATATCATAAATATACTAAGTGTAATGTAGACTTTTTCTCCCTGAGTGTAAGAAATGTAAAACTACAAAATGTTTAAGTATTAAAGTGCAAATACCAATTTTTAGGGAATGAAAAACACAGCAATACAAATGTATAAATTATATCTATAGGTCATAACTATTTTAAGATCTGCAGAAAAATAAATGTAGAAACTTTTAATATAATTTAATAATAAATGAGCCACTCCCACAAATGGTACTTACTTTCCACAAAACTTTTTAGTAAAATAATATACAATCTTTTTAGGAGCACATTTACCTAAAAAAATTTTTTTAAATATTTTTTGAAGGAAGTAGAAATATTAAATTTCCAAGATGATTTTCCAGCATCTATAACTCTGTCATTTTAATTTATAGTTTTCAACAACGGATTTCAATGCAGTTATCATTTACAAATTCATATTTTATTCATCATCTCCTATACGATCAAAGATGCTTTAAGTGAAAGTTCCCTCCCTCTTCATAAGCTCTCTGCCCTCACTTCAAAAAGAACAAAATACCTTAAGGTTTATTGAAGGACATGTTTCTGATGCCTGACCTAACAAGGATTGGAATGGCTGGGTTGCAGGCAAGTGGTTTGCAATAATTTATTTTCCATGATAGTATAAAAGAATATAGGAGGAAAAGGTTAATCCTTTTAATTTTGCAGTAAAATTTACATTCCCTTAGTGCAAAAAGACTTCATCCTCTGACACCTTTAACCACAAATTACAAAATAAATTTATTTTTGATGGCAACAAAATTAAAACACTTATTTAAGAGAAAAGTAGGGATTGAGATGGTTTTGAAGTAATAGTGTACTTTGGATTTTAAAATAGAGTCAATATACAAAATATACTACTTCAATATGCCGAATATTTTTTAACAAAACACTAACTGAAAGTAATTTTTTAAAAAGAACCCTTCTTATATGTTACAATTGTAAAGATGGGCGTTTATGATTTTAAAATCCAGTTTAATGGATTTCACAGCATCCAACATGTCTCAGCATTTACTTTATTTAATAAAGTAAAATTTCCCTTTAGAGGTTTCAAATATGAATGCATAGGACGTTCATAAAGAAAAAAAGTAGTACTTCTGCAGTTGCTTTGTTCTCGGATGGTCGGAGCACAATAGAGGAAAGGACGCTATCTTTTCATCAGCCTAAAATTTGTTAGGCATTAAAACATCGCCATATTACTCTGGCTCTGTGCAGGAAGTAGCTTTGCTAATCTAAGTATTTTAGAAATGAGTTATGTGGTCCCCTCTAGGAAATATGAAAAGCCATTATTCAATCTCAAAAACCTCAACAATATTCTGTAAGCCTCTTAAACATGCCGAAATGTATAGGATGGACGAAACGGTGCTGCTGCGGCCCTATTTTTAGCGACCTGAGGTGGGGAGAGAGGGGTCTGAACTTATTCGGATGCAGAGAGTGGGGATGCAAGTGCTAACTAATGGAGTGCCCAGAGCTCCAGGGGAAGACGCTGTTGTAAGGACAGGATACAAAGCAGAGGATGCGCTCTCAAATTCAGTTATTCACTGCTGTGTCCGCATCCACAGCGGGAAACTTGGGCTCAGCCTTTGCCCAGTAAGCTGCAGCCAGGCTTACACCTGGGGTGAAGGGTACTAACATGACCCCGGTCCACGTTCTGGTCCCCGAACTGCTAAGCAAAGTGTCTTTTATCATATTTTGGTAATGACTTAATAGTTTTCTGATAAACATTATGTATCTTGCAATGGTGCGATGAGTTCATTTACACACACAGTGGGTGACTGATCAATAAGTAGGTTAAGTATTCTGTCCCAGGAAAGCAATGATATATTTCCCTTATCGTATTGATCAAAGAACGTTGTGTAGTCAGTGGCCCAGGACTGGTTTCGAAATCTCAGTTCTCAAAAAGGTGCTTTCGGCTTTTGCCGGGGGTAGAAGTAAATAGTCCATAGGCGCCGGGTAATCACAGTGCCGGAGCAAGAAACGGTCGTGCTCGCAGCCTTCTTGGCTGCCCTGAGCAACCTTCATCAAAAGGCTACCGGGGAAAGTCCCTGTCTCGGTCTCTGGAGACCATTCTGCTTTTATATGGCAGTCCCATGAAAACAGATCCATGCAGGAATCTAGTGAGAGGCAGGAGACAAACTTCCCGCCTAAGACCTCGGGTAAACCGCTGCCCATAGCCAACCCAAGCCCTCCACGGAGGGGCTTCGAAGACATCTTTTCTGTCTATCTGAAAATCCTTCTCCAGACTCCATCTCCAGCCCCCGGGGCCCTAGTGAGGAAGCTGGAGCCCAGAGCTCCCTTAGGGCGCGCAGAAAAGCCCGGGGAGGGGGTGGGGGAGCTTCAAAACCGTTAGCTCGCGTTTTTTCCCCCTCCCTCGCTAAGGTTTCTTTTCTTTTCTCTTCCTGTCCAAATATTTCAAATTTCCGCGCCTTAAATAACAGTCTCCTTTTATTTAGTTAGTTTTCTCGGCAGGTCTGGCCGCCCGCTTGTCTCTGCCCCCCTACGGGCCCGGAGCGCCTCGGTGCTGCCTGCAGCCCCTGTGCGCTGCCCCCGGCCCAGCTTGCGCCGCACGGAGCGTGCCCGCCGGAGCCACAGCCCCCTCCTGCCGCGACCTCGCCTGACCCGGCTGTCGGGGCACGAGGAGCCAACTAAGGCCGCCCCCAGCCCAGACGCCGGCCTGCCTCTCAGCTTGACTTCCCTCCCCGGACTTTGGAGCGTCTTCTGCGTTGGGGTTTGGATCCCCGTGGCCCTGGAGCAGCAGAAGGGCTGCAGCGATAGGAAAGCAGCGAAGGAGGCCAGTGGCCGGAGCCTGCCCCAGCCCCCACCCGCGGGTAACCTTGGAGGCGCCCTCGGAGTAAGTGTGTGCGCGGCCGGGCGGCCGGTCGGGGTGAGCAGGATCTCCGCGCCGCAGGCGGGAGGCGGGAGCGGGGGGCGGGGAGGAGGAGCGGGAGCGGGCGCCGGCGCCTCCTAGCCGCCAGCGCAGCGCCCCGGGAACTGCGGGTTCCCCGGGCGGCCAGGCGACCCCGGCCCTGGCCCTCAGGCAGCGGTCCCCGAGGAGGCGGCAGCCATCCCACCGGACGGTTCTGGAGACCTGTGCCTGAGGACTGGGGCCGGAGACCGGCCTGGGAGCAAGGGCCAGCGGGCCGGTGAGCGCCTAGCTCTTCGCGGAGGTGAGCTGGCGGCGGGACGCGGCGGGGCTGCTGAGCGAACGGCGCCCGACGCGGACGCCAGCACTGTCTTCCCCTCCCCCCTGACAGCTGAGGACAGTCGGGCTCTGAGCCTCGCGTCCAGTTGCGAGGAGGCAAATGCGTCTCTGGCTTCTCAGTCCCTCAGACTATTCGGGAAGTTGCCCTACAGTTTTGTCTGCCCCCCCAACACCCACTTCCACAAATTACTGGACGTTCAGGACTGAAAATGCACGTTCAATTCCAAAAGACCCTCCTCCTGAAACACAGTGAACTTCAGGGCTCGGGTGCGCAAAACACCAAGAAAGGGGTCTATTTTCAACCCGGAATAGTTTTGAAAACTGAGTACTGTGTGGATCATCAACGATGCCTCAAAACAATTTTTTTTTTTAAATCCCCAGATCTGGATATAGACTTGCTAAATTAAGGTTCCAGTGAAATGTTTTGTCATTTGCTCTAGAAACCTTGAGCGAGCTTCAGGTGTTAGGATATGGGTTTGGAATTTTCTGTGCTGTCTTTAATCCTCAAAGACATTAAATAACAGCATGGTAACACACCCGGCAAGCGAGCAAAGGTTATCCTTGCCACCACAGCACCTGCAGAAGCACAGTCGAACTCACATATTTTGCTTCCTGAGTTCTAAAATGGCTACTGAACCGTCCAGAGGTACCAGCACATACGAGGAGGGGGACCCGAGACCGGGGGAGAAATCGTACATTTTAAAAACTACGCAGGTGCTATTACAATTCAATTGTTCACCTCACCTCTCTCCCCCAGCCCTCATCCTCATCAGACAAGGAAGAATTTTAGTGTAGGCCTGTTCAGTAATTCTAAATACAGCCTTTTTCTCTTCTCTCATGTCTCCCCCGCCCCCACGAAATAAAAACAAAAACAAAAAACAACCAGCCAAAAACATCAGCTCTTTGGGGGAGGAAGTAAAAAACCACCAATCCTTATCCAACTACACGTCATTTCTTTTGAGCACTAAGAAGAAATGCTACATACAAGCCATGCTGTGAAAGAAATAATTTACTAGGACTTCAAACGGATTTAATTTGGCATAATTAAAGCGATATTGTCTTTTAACATGAAATAATGGAACAGTTTCTGAAACTGATGCATGAAAAACTCACAAATCTTCCCGAACATTTTTGGAGACAGAAGTTTCTGCTCCTTAAATTTTCTAAGTAACTAAAAATAGTTACTTAGAAAAAGCTGATACTTTATCTTGACCATATGAAGCAGTATCTTTCGAATTTTATTTTCATTATGTGTCTTAGATTTTCAGATTAGTTGTATGAATAGTGAAATATCACATAAAAAG